TGCTTTTGGTGGCCGGTAACGACTCGAATCAATTAGGGGAAGCCGGGGGAAGCCCGGCATAGTAAGCTCTTTTTCATTTTTATTACATACCATACGTGCTGTATAAAATGTTGATATCCTGTTAGCTAGCTAAGTTCATTGGCCGTGTTTTCCCAAAAATTCGGTTTCGTGAAATAAGTATAAGGTTTTCTTTGGAGCGCTCTTGCGACTTGCGAGGAACATTATGAATATTAGAGAGAGAAAATATATGAAAAATTGACCTCTCCTCGACATTTAAAATTATTTGAATTGCCAAATATTACTGTATTGATATTTCGACCAACAGGTCTTCTTCAGAATAAGACAGTGTACACAAGTGTACGAGAATACAATAATTGATGCAGCAGACTTATTCCCGCGGTTTTCAAATTCAAAAATTAGCGCGGTTTATCTCGCGCTCATAAAACAGTGGTACAACCTTTTTAACAACTTCTTGTACCACTGGTTGTAACTTGTACCACTGTTTTATGAGCGCGAGATAAACCGCGCTAATTTTTGAATTTGAAAACCGCGGGAATAAGTCTGCTGCATCAATTATTGTATTCTTGTACACTTGTGTACACTGTCTTATTCTGAAGAAGACCTGTTGGTCGAAATATCAATACAGTAATATTTGACTATTCAAATAATTTTAAATGTCGAGGAGAGGTCAATTTTTCATATATTTTCTCTCTCTAATAAGTACAAGGTTGAGAAAACCGAGTTTTTTTTTAAACGTGTTGATTTTTCTGGGGTAAGCCCGGCATAGGGATAACGCCGGCCACCTCCCCAGCGCTTTACAACGAGTTGATGAAACCATTATGTGTCTTCCAAATATTAACGGAAAGTGAAATACTAAGGTACTGATTAGCTCTGGACATCTTAGAGTTTATGTCACTACTGGTATTTTAGCTAGCGTCTACCACATATACAGTACAGGTCGATGAAAATCGTGATGCAAAATTGACAAAAAATGTGTATTTCAAAATTCCTTAAAATTTATTTTTCTTTTTGCCTTAATGCATCATATTGCATATCATTTGACTCGGCTGATGAAGAAGAACACAACGACACCATTTTTGAAGCTCTAGCTTCATTGTCTGTCGCGTTATCTGCAAAAATGTAGTTTGACCCTAGTTGACCTTAAGTGACATGACTGGCTTTGTCTATGATAACATGTTTATTTTCGAAATTTATCTTTGATCTAGGTGTAAACCAAACCTGCTCAGTACCTATTATCTCATGGAAAACAGTGGTTTAGTGGCATTGCTCTCGGTTGGGGGTAAGCTTGGCCACTCGCCCGGGGTTACCCCAATGTGCTAATTTTTATTTTAGAACTGCGATGTTCGAAAAAAATGTCATACTTAAGCCAGCCTGCCTCGTCACCCCTCACTACAAACACTTAAACGGCCCTTACATAACATTCGTATAAATATTAGTACTGTATGGTATAACATTAACAGTGCAACATATCTCACTTTTTAGCTAAAAACCCTTAAAATATCATTTCTGCTCTATAAATTTAACAATATGCAATTTTTGTTAGCCTTAACTTTTTTACTGGCGTTACCTTAGCTGCCACGCTGAAAGGACAAACAGTTGAGCATTTTATTGTGAATAATTTAGCCGGAAACGGGGTGGCCGGGCTTCCCCCGCGCCCGGGCTTACCCCGGCTTCCCCTATTATCCAGAGTCAAGTAAGAGTAGTCCTTTTCCGTTTTCAGCTTAAGCCACTAACAGGCAACCATGGTGAATCAACTCCCGTTCTCTACTTTGTAAACGGACTTTCGGCATGGTTTTTGCTGGAGAGCTTCAGCAGCTCATCTGCATGCAGTTAGGATTGAGCAAAGCGCAATTATATCAGCTAACGAAGCGAGAGAGAGCAAGAGATAAACCTGATTGACAAGCTTGGGCTCGGCCAAAAAGGGCCATGCACCAGTTGTCAAACAGGTGGTTGCTTGTCATAGACAACAAACGTCACCGATCTAACTAAAAACTAGTTAAGCAATAGATCAGGATTATCTACAAAACATCAGTCTACCTTGCACCACTATCTTCGACAAAATTTTGGAAGTTGGGGTCCTTCGCCAGAACAAAATATGCGAAAACTACGGGAAAAGCAGCGCAAATCACTACAATTCATCCCAAAAACATATCATATACAACAAAACAGTATATTGAAGCACACTTTGTGGTCTAACGAAGGTATTATGTCATTCGAACCGCCCGAAAAAGGCGTGTGTGAACGTCAGATGACTACAACGCCCCAACAGCAGAGACGGCCAGGCACCCGTCGAAAATCATATTGTGAGACATTTTGAGCCACCGTGCAATCATTGGGCTTGATATGATGGCCCAAAGACAACCGTAGAGTACTATTGCGGTAATACTCTACCAGTACAAAAACTGGATGCCGTGAACCAAGTGGCCATGAACGGGTTTGTTTTGGAAACCAAATCTGTTGGAAGCCAAAAGTCGCGCCATGTTCAGACATGGAGCTTCTCCACTCCAGATGTAAAAAACGCAGCAAAAGTGGTGTAGGCAGAAATTTTTGTTTTGGGGATAATACCTTATGGCCTGGGAACACTTTGATGTCAAGTTTATCTTTATATGATCGTAATATCCTCCGGCAAGAGGTCAAAGAAAACAGGCCTACACCCAGTTCCGGGAGACCCGTAAAACAACTGAGACCAGCAATGGCTGGCATTTTCCATCATTGTCGGCTGATCTTGTAACAAGCGTATCTATTGCATGTGCTATTTGACAGCCACCCTAGTTGACTATATAGGACGGTAAAAAGAAAAAAGCGCAATCATGTTTGCCTTATTTTATACGCTAATTAACAATGTTCGGGTAATTCTGGGACACCCTGTATATATGGCCTTGATCGGTTCTAATGGGCCCCGCTGGCTTATTCGCCTCGTGCACTGTCCGCAATTTAGGGGTGGCGCTAGTGAGGAAATAGGATACCGAACTTGGCGCAGATGCGTCGAACGTTAGGATTGATGCGTGGATTGCGTGGATTTGTGTGGGTCGTTGAGGTGTTTGGAGGACTTTGGATGGTGTTTGTTGATTCAAGAATATCGGGAATATTGTAATAGCGGCCTAAGAAGAAGAAAGCATGCCTTTTCATCTTGGACTAGACGTCATTTTAGATTTCTTGGAGGCAGAGTTTCAGGGGTACAAGGAAGGTCGCGTGCGCTGTCTGAAGGAGGGAGAGTCGATCCTGAACAGTAAGCACTTACTTTGTTGTGGTGTTGACTCATCAAACAAAACCGAAGATGTTGTGATTTGCTCTTTGTGCCTGCAAACATCGAATCTGAAGGCACCTCCTCATGAGATACGAGTCACTCTGAGCAGGAGCGGATGCATCAAGGGTTCATTGTGCTCATGCAAGGCTGGCCTGGCTGGTGCCTGCAAGCATGTTGCAGCTACATTAGTCTACATCAACAGGTAATTTTTATTGTTACTTACTGTTCTACTTACTGTTATACTCTGACCTGGCTGGGCTGGCATAGCACCAGTCTGATTCACCAGTCCAAACTAAAAAAGCCATCTGGTTTTAAGGAACTAAATAGAGTGGGAAACCCATAGATGGCCTTGAACCCGCTACTGGTTTACATTTTGGAACAGCTTTCCAGAAATGGAAAGCTTAAAAAATAACCACAATTTCCCTGACTGATATGCCTGTGCAATTACTAACAGAGTTCTACTTTGTTGCAGGCATGATATCAATGACCTGGAGGAGCTTTCAACCACTGACCTAAAGAAAAAATGGAAAACAGGTGGGAAGCATCCATATGAGGGCAAAAGAATTGCAGACTTCTGCCATGTGAATGTAGTACCAGTTCCCTCCAGACAGAGCAGTGCTGGATCTGCTCTGGAAGAACTGGTACGAGCTGCTCCTGGTTCAGCGCTGGCCCTGTTCGAACGCGGTCGTGGTAGTGAGCCAGAGCAAAGTGTGTGTGATGCTCTGGATGGAAAGCGCCAAGATGTCACACTTCTTGTGTCGAGCGGTGCCATCTCCTGTGGTGAGCCAGACCTGGAGGAAGAGGTCAGGAAGTTTTATGATGAGCGTGTCGCAGTGACCACTGAGAAGGCTGTTAACATTGCCCTAGCTCCTCAGGGTTCAGAGATGTGGCGTCGCGAAAGAGAAGTGAGGATCACTGGTTCTGTCTGCCATAGCCTCATGACTTATTCAAAAAGGGGTGGGGACTGGGAAAAAAAATTGAGGAGTCTGGAAAAGGCCCAATGCTGGGCGGGGAACAGTGCAACTGCGCATGGCATCAAAGCAGAGAAGCATGCCCTGGAATTGTATGAGGGTGTTTGTCAGGGAAAGCTTGTGACGTGTGGGCTCCTTGTACAGCCAGGCTGTCCATGGCTTGGATGCTCACCAGATGGCGTTGTGATGCATGACGGTCAGGCGGTGCGACTGGTGGAAGTGAAAAGCCCTGTGTGTGGCAAAACTATGTCGGCAGCAGACATCATCAGTGAGAGAAAGGTGCGCTGGCTAGACGTTGATGGTGAAAATGCTACCCTGAAGAAAAACCACCAGTACTATGGCCAGGTGCAGTTAGGCATGGCTCTCCTGAAGGTGAACTCTTGCGACTTGGTGCTGGCAGGCATGGGTGACATCGCCATAATCCAGGTCGAGCGTGATGATGGATACCTGGGTAGCCTGGTTGGTACCTTGTATTCAGTTTACTTCGACATCCTCCTTCCACATCTTGCTCGCCAGTGAGAAGTAGGGCACCTACCAGGCTACTTGGTTGTGCAGTGCAGCAGTTTATGACTGAATACTTGTCAATACATGTGTATGACTTGTGACATTCGTCTTGTCACCAAGTGTATGACTGAATACTTGTCAATACATGTGTATGACTTGTGACATTTGTCTTGTTACCAACCAACTGAATAGTGATTTTTGCCACTGATCATTGTGACATTTTCTCATACAGCCCACAGAAGAAAAAGTTCAAGTGCCTCATGATTGCAAATGTATTCATAGCACAGCATGTCAGAGTTGCCAGCAGTAGTATTTCTCATGTGAATGAAACACCACTGAGTGCCATAAACAACAAGGTACTCACTGACACATCATGTGATCATGACCAGCATCAAGGCGACACTAGAACTTGTCATCTGCCAAGATTGGCGGTGACAAGTTGGTGAGTCCACAAATGACTGTGAAGATATGGTTAACATATGGCATCATGCTCCAGGGCAGCTTGTTTTTTAAGACACTATACTGCTTCACCCTTTGAATGACTCTCTCTACGTGGACTCTGGCACAGGCTATCTTTTTGGTTAGCTTCGCGTCAGCGGCTGACAGCTGTTTGCTACTCTTCAAAAAAGGAGGACGGACAAGTTCAATGGCATTGAATAAACATTCATCATCAATCATAAAGCCCTTGTCAACCATGACAGCATCTACATAAGGTTCTAATTTCCCCAGAAGGTCACTGCCATTGAATATTTTTTTTGTCAGATGCCTTCCCTCCATATGCATCACTCACAAAAGTGATTGTACCAGCAGGGGAGCAACCAATCATGACTTTGACACTCTCACCACCATGATAGTGAGAGTAGGATGATATGCGACAATCAAGGCAGTTGGGCCTCTCCACAGATACCTCAGTACAGTCAAGGACCACCCGCACTTTGCGAAATTGATGGAAGCACTTTGGCATGTTCCTGGCAACCTGGTCTTTTGTGGGCCATGACAACACATCTTTCATGATACCAGCTAGCACAGGGAGTACTGTGGCAAAGAGTCTACTGCATGTGCTCCTATCAGTGCCAAGGAGCACACCCAGAGCAGTGAATGTAAGACCTGTTTTAAGTCTCATCATTGTCACAATGATTCCCCTTTCCACATCTCGCACAGATGGTAGCTCTACCTGCACCAGTTTCTCTAATGAAGAAAGGATATCAAACGATGGAATGCCAGTCATAACACTCAACTTTTGATCTGAATCAAGAAGTGAAAAAAGGTTCAAGCGACCAGACGGCAGACACCATCTCAGTCAATGACACTTGCACTCCGATGTCCTGTTTTAACACATCATGTAACTCATCCATGATATTGACACTTTGTTCCTCATCATCTTCAGCATGAGGAAGCTGTTCAAAACCTTGTTCTCTCTTCTGTATCCTCTCTGCCCTCCTTGCTGCACTTTCCGATGTTGTCGGCCCGTCACATGATCTCACAGGAAGATTGAGAGATGGAACTGCATCTTCTTTGAGGTACCTTTTCATGCGGGAACTCACTGAAAAAGACAGGGAATATTATCACTACTGAGAAAAAATATTTGTTTACACCTTGGTATCTTATAGGTACCTTGTCTCTTGGTCTCACAACGCTGTTAAATGTTATGCAAAAAACATTGAACGAAAAGTTCCTTTAACCCTCGTCGCTTGCTAAGATAGTAACATTTTCACGACTTCTCCAACTCCACAGTGAATAAAATTGCTTTCTTTCAAAACCACAGTGATTCATGACCAATTCCTAACCTTTCAACAATGCACAAAAATACAAACAAGATCGAGGTACCAACATCCCTGCTCCCTGTCAGATAATCCTAGAAACCTTGGCGAAAACTCCAAGGAAAGTTACATGTATTAAGTGAAAACTAAAATACACACCTGTGGGCTTGAAGTCCTCTTCCTTGAAATGTTGAGAGCATACCTTCATGCTCGGTGTCAACTTCTTCCCAGTTCTGATAGCTATTTCCCATCGCTTCCTGAGCTTTGGTTCCTTCGGCACCATGTGCAAGCTGACCTTCCAACGTCGAGTTCTGGCGCTGCACTGCGGCACTGCACATATCACATTGCTCTTATATCGTGTCATTGCAAATATCAGGAGATTGTCAACTTATCTAACAACACCAGTAAAAAAAATTCAGTCGAGAACTTGAGAGCGAACCGAAAGGACAGCCAACAGCTCCAACCCCAAACTGGTTCTGTAAGCTTTTTACCGTTGCTTTTATAATTTGTCGCAGCTGCGCCAAGTTCGGTATCCTATTTCCTCGCCAAGTAGTTTCCAATGCACGAGGCGAATGAGCGTCAGGTGCCGAGCTCTGATGGCCAATGCCAGCTTCTGGACCCACGTTGACCTCTGGTAGCCCACACTAGTCTTTCCTGTCCCCAGAGACAGACCACCAAGCTGAACTTACGATCACCCAGAATGGGAACCTGCTTCATTACGATTAGGAGCTACTCTTGCCGCACACCGGTGACCGTTCAGCTAGAAGTTCGACGTCGCGTAGTGAGGCCGACGATGGGTAGAAGCAATAGATTGACGCCCCGAGGACAGAAACAACAGGAGAATACGTGAAAGATAATATGCGGGACACGGAGTTAGGTCGCCTGAAAACCCGAAATGTAACGTATTGCTGAGCAGTGAGCCAAGAAAAAAAAACAATGCTATCAGGTAAACAAGATACCTAAACACGTGAAAACAGTGAGAGGTACTAATCGGGTATATCAATATGCTCACATTGCATCCATGTTTCCTTTACGCATTTGTTTTTATGCGCATCGACGCCTTGGAGTAAAAATTCGTTTGCCTTTTCGCTTTTGCCGCCCCCCCCCCCCCCGCCCCCCAGTATAGTGACATTTTTACCCTGACTGGGGGAGGGGGCAGGCCGGTGACTGCGGGGATTTGCCCCCCCCCCCCCACCCCCAGTTAACATGTTAGACGAGGCCCTGCTACGATGTAGGGGTTGACGGTAGGTAGCCGTACCAAGGTCAAACCAATTAAGGTATTGACATGAATAGCATCAGTCTCTATAAATTTATGTTTAAATCAAAGCGTCAACGTGTAGTCATCATCATTGCCTCAATGCTTTAAAGGAAACAGTCCACTTTCCTGAAATCAGTATTTTGCTATTGATTTATGATTTTTTATGCTAAAAATAATCATGAAATAAAATAAAACCTTTTTGTAAAAACAATTATTTTCTATATTTTAATATAGGACGAACTATATTCTATGTAAAATAATGTTTGACGCGGAAGCTTATTACGCATTGACCAATCATATTGCGTAGCTCAAACCTACGCATACTGCATTGGCTGTAAGCAGCACGCTGATTGGCTGACGATGACGTGGCTGCATTCCTGTGCAAGGCACGCATTCCTCTACAAGGCACTCTATTCGGAACGAGAAATGGAATATCTTCGTCTAGGGTGATCGTTGAGCCGTAAAAGCTAGTCTCAAAAGCTAGTCTCAGCTCAAGCTACGAAACTGCTATTCCAGCTCAAAACCCCATGTTAAAAGTGAACTATTTCCTTTAATGTATCACCGACCGACCGATCTCCCTGATGCCATTTTCCCCTCCAAAACTGAATCCATACTGGCGGTTCGAGTTAAGCTGGAAAGTAGAAACTTCTCTTAGATCATAATAATAACATAAGAATAACCAGTAACCTCATAATATAAATCAGAAATAGGAGCCAAAAAGTTATATCTAAAGTTATCGAATATTTCGCTCCTGAAGCTTCGTCAGCGATAATTACAGAAAAACATATGAGCTTTTTAAGAAGCTTCTCTTAGATCCCTAGATCTTCTGGTGAACCAGTCTTCGTAAAAAAACTAGTTTTGGGGTACCTCGTGCAACTTTAGTTAGCATCTGGGCGCCTATAACCCCACAATACCGTGGCCCTGGCCTTTTGAACAGGAACCAAGAGGGGCAAAAAGGAGGCACTGTCTTTCGCGCTTATGAGACCGTTTTGGAATTTAGGCGAGTGTTTCATCTCGATCATGAATTAGTCCACATGACCTTACTGGTGTCCTCAGCGCTCCGTTTTTTTAGCCTCAAGCATAGAGTAGGTAAGTCATAAGCATGTATTCCGTTTTTATATCATACGAGTATGTATTCCGTTTTTATTTTCGAAAAGTCAAAAAGTTTTTGAAAAAGATAAAAATACAAATTTTGAATTTAAATATAAACATTTTTCAAAATGTTCAAAATTTTGAAAATTCGAAATGGCAGTTTGATAGCGCAGTCCATTCGGAGTCCTCTCATGCAAAGAAATTGGATCTACCTCAAAAACTGAGCTCTTGGGACCGATTCCCGTGGTTCAATGTTTTGCGTCGAAATCGGCTGAACATGACGTCACTCTGACGTCATTTCCGGCCGACCTATGATGGATACGAAGTTCAAATTTTGACACAAGATGTCAAATTGATGCAGCCAAAGGTACTGAAAGTGTGGCGGCGATACATCAAGCGGTTTAGATTAGAAGTTATTGCAGTAGAAAAACGGCAGGGGGCTATGAATATTGAATAGCCCCCCCCACACCCCAGTGGGGCGCGGGTTAATTTGCGAGTTACGCTGAACGTGTTGTAAAACAAGAGTACGCCTAAAAGTAAAATTTAGGTGAGAACGATCTTATGGGACACCCTGTACATGCCAACTTTCAGCGCAATCGGCCCGATATTGCAATTGTTACAAAACTGACACCTCTTCGTTTTGCAAGTAGCACGTGCATAAGGGGTCACCCACATTCATCAGGAATAATCCAATACTTGATAGAAGGAATGAAGCTTCTTTACTAATTATCGCATGTAAATCGGTCTAGTGGTTGCTGAGATATAAGCCTCGCAAAAGCGTGACCACCGATCTTTCCAAGTTTAAAAATCAAGCGTTGGCATCGTGAGAAGCGTTAGGGTGGCCGCTTTGCCCCACTCTCCGCTACAACAAATCTTTTAAACGTCGAGCCGATAGGCGAGACGTTTAAAAGATTTTTCTACCTACGAGCGGTTTAATAATTTTATCCCGTGCCGCCGACATATTTCATGTAATGTCTACTAGACGTTTAACAGTTTGTTAATCGTCACAGTAGACGTTTAACAACTGTTACACGTCTAGAACCTGTTAAACAAATCATTTACTCAACATCTGATAATTTTCTCTCTTAGCACGTGAAGCAATTGAAAATACTGACTACGAGGCGGGATAAATGACAGATATAAGATATACCGCTACAAACAATCATTGTAAAATTCACAAAACGCACCGGCATGGTTTCTAATAAGGCTGAAACAGACTCTTTCCGCAGTCAGGAAATCGCATGCGAGAGCCTATTCAAATTGATTAAATCACGCTCGCATCAATCGTACGCACCTCCCGCATGCGTTTGATGCGGGAAGGATTGTAATGTATTTGAATAGGCTCTCGCATGCGATTTCCTGACTGCGGAAAATCTGTTTCAGCCTTGACCATTTTATTTGCTTGCCACAATCCAGAAATGGCTATAGGTATTGTGATGCATTGTTGCTGATTGGGGTAAATAGATGACGAAGACATTGAAAACAGTATTTTTTTTTTTGCAATGGGTGAATTTATTGAGCTAGGTAGCTTTGCTTGCAAATGCTGAAGTATTGTTTTTTTTTTAACGGTTCTCCATCCAATCATATACTCCCAAAGCACGTTACTGACGTTAATACGTTTCTGCTTACCTAAATAATAGAGTAGTACCGCCGAAACTGGAATATTAAATGCATTATCTATACAAACGGAACTCGTACTCATAACCAGGTGACAACCAAAGTTGGGACGTTTTACCATACCTGTAATTTCACGATCACGAATATCGTGTTAGTTTTGATCAGAGATGATGTCTTTAAGCATTTAGACCAGGTCGGATCAAGTCAGGTCAGGTCAACCGGTAGGGGTTGTGACGGGTATTCGTAATACGTGTCAACCGCCTTTGACAGCTTCGTAACATGTTACGAAGGCACCAAAACTACTTCTTAAATGTTAAAATGATTGCTAAATTCGAATTCAGCTCCAAAAACTAGGCTAGAAACATGTAAAACTCGAAAAGGTGAACCGAGGTCACCCGAGGTCACCAAAGGTCAATGACCTGACCTGACCTTCAGGTGACCTTGACACCCACCCTAATATATGGGAGCAACATCAAGCCTGAATAACCGGTCATGCTTGCGTATTTCATGCTTCAGCCCTGCTGTGAGCCATATTTTATGATTGCGGATCTTTCGCCGGCACAGGGGGGGGGGGGGTTGATGAGGTTTTTCGCGAATAACTCGCGTAAAAAGCGGCCGATCGCTACGAAACTTTCAGTACCCTCGCATTGATCAATTTTAAACCTACCCTGAAAATTTCATGACCCTGACCCAAATGACCTTTGACCTGTGACCTCTTTTCCGAGACCATGTTTGGCCGGAATCGCGATTCGGCGTATGTCGGCTCGCATTAGCCGCGCGTTCGCAAGCTTTTCGTGGTTTCAAACGTTCAAACATATGTTTGAACGTTTGAAACCACGAAAAGCTTGCGAACGCGCGGCTAATGCGAGCCGACATACGCCGAATCGCGATTCCGGCCAAACATGGTCTCGGAAAAGAGGTCACAGGTCAAAGGTCATTTGGGTCAGGGTCATGAAATTTTCAGGGTAGGTTTAAAATTGATCAATGCGAGGGTACTGAAAGTTTCGTAGCGATCGGCCGCTTTTTACGCGAGTTATTCGCGAAAAACCTCATCAACCCCCCCCCCCTGTGCCGGCGAAAGATCCGCAATCATAAAATATGGCTCACAGCAGGGCTGAAGCATGAAATACGCAAGCATGACCGGTTATTCAGGCTTGCTCAGCGCCACGACTCAGAAAGACATTCAGTTCAGTTCGCCGCCGATGATGACAGCATGGTCGGGTAGTTCGTTCCGCGACAGGGTCCGGCTGCTTTGTGCGGCTCGGCGGGGCGGGAGGGGGAGGCAGGCGACGCGTCTGACAGGCGACACTTGAGCGTCCCGGGAATCAGCTGTCACCGTGCGGCGCGGCGGGCCGTCCCTCCGACCCTTCCCATTGTTACCTGACTGGGCGCCGGCCGCCGGTCCTCCGGAAGGGTCACTTTGGTATGCGAACTCTTCACCGCACTTGCCCACTGTCAGAGAGTGTACTGAGGTACAGTAGTTTCTAACAGCTCGTTCGATTGGTCTGCCTGCTCAGCCAATCATATTC